ATTTTGTGTTTCTTCGTTTACATCATTTTGTGTTTCTTCATTTACATTATTTTGTGTTTCTTCGTTTACATCATTTTGTGTTTCTTCGTTTACATTATTTTGTGTTTCTTCGTTTACATTATTTTGTGTTTCATCGTTTACATCATTTTGTACAATGTCATTTAAATTATTATGTGTATTGGCATTTAAATCATTTTGTACAACTTCATTTATATTATTTTGTGTAATATTAACTATAGCATTTTCACAATGTTCCAGTTCTCGAACTGGGGTTTCTAAAGTAGAAACTTTACATCTAATGTTGCCCATATAATTGTATTTATTTTTGTATTTTCTCCAAAACCGTAGTCTCTCCTCTTCATTAATTTTATTAATATAAGCATTCTCAGAGTCTGATGTTGTAGAAGAAGATTGGTTTGAAGGTTGTTCAACATTCGACATTAAAGTAAGTAAATTAGATACCTCTTTTAATACAGTTTTTAATTGATTATTAGTTACAGGAGTTGGATCAATATTCTGATCAGTAGTGGGAATAGGATGAATAGTGTTTAAAAGAGCATCCGATTCAATTAGAATATCTCGTAACTCTGCGACGGACAATTTACTTAAGCCCTAAAACAAAAAAGCAACAAAAAATAAGAACAATATTATAATAAACATTTGAAAAACAGATGCAATTTTAAGGCTAATGACCACTAGTGATTTAATGTAGTCTACATTAGTAGGTAAATAATACATACAGCCAAAAGCCTGATGATGACAGTAATGGAATTGGCAGATTTTCGCACTGTTTCATCTCTAATCCGCTCTGATATGGCTATATTATCAATCTTTTGGTTCGTAGCCTCTAATAACTGGCGTAAAGACCGAATCTCGTTCATCATCTGTGCCTGTGCCGGATCCATATTATAACGCTTAAAAAAACAACTTCGGTGGAATAAAACAAACGATTGACGAACGATCTGAATAAATATTTGTTTTCTGGTTGTCGCGTCGCTTATTGAAAATTGCGATCCACCGAGTCGAGACCACAATACGGAAAACGAGGAAAATAAAATAACTTAATTTTCTGTACAAGAACCACAAATGAAAATCACGAAGTATAATATAATAACACTAATAACAAATAATATAAACGAGAAAACTGCGCCAAACGCTGCAGCAAACACCAATAACTAATAAGTAACAACCAACAATAGGTTTCACTAATGACAATCATGGACGGAGGCAAACAATGATAAAACCGTTTAAGCCAAGCAAAATAACAGTGCAGCCATGATCGAGGCGTTGTGATCGTAAATGAATGTCCGATCTTTCAAATTTAAAAAATAAAATAACGGACTAACTAATGTCACTTAAAAATTTTTAAAAATATTAAAATAAAATAATTACGGTTGCGTCAAATATACACACAAAATGATTATTATCCGTACACCATTACGATTTACGGGTTTGCGTACACAAATTTTTTTTAACTTTTAAATTTAACTATTTTTTTTCTGTAATACTTCATGACGTATAGAATAGATAGGTTTCTTGTTGTACCTATTAAATAAAAACTACTTAAATTAACTGTTAGAATTTCGAATTAAATGCATCAATATTTTCAAAAAAATCATCTCCAGACTCCAATATGCAATAAAAAAGGACATTGACCTTTGAAATAAAAACAAATTATACATCATCACAGGAGTATAGAACACTTTTAAATGTCATAAAAAAAGTATTTGATAATATGGTCTTTAAGTATAGGTATTTAAAAATTTGAATACATTTATTATTTAAGAAAAATTAGGATTCACAACATGCTTGATGAAAATCTCTTTATATTATAGACATACAATATGTTATAAGCCATCAAAAATTTTTGTAGGTATTGAATCTTTAACATAATTAAATTATCACGAGTATTTTTATTATCAACTATTACGATCTTGAAAAAAAAAGAGTAGGTATATTATTCTATGGTTTTAACTAAGGCAATAACAAATATAATTATTTCACTTTCTTTGTCTTTTACTTTTTATAGCACCTATTTGCTTAGAATCGTAATTTAATTTGCTTGATCTCTCTATAGAAAAATCTAAAATAATAACGCTACTTACTATATTATAAGGTACTATTAACCTGTAGTCTATAAGTATTATACTTATTTAGCTCCCTACATATTTTTTTCCAGTACAATTGGGTTATTTTTTGATACATGATAATACTCATAAAATTATCTAAGATGGAAATTGTTTTAAAATAAAATTAAAAATACCTAAGTAGAATGCAGTTTACAAATGAATCAATCGGTGTTTTTCGGTTACCTATACATGTCATAATATGGGCTAGTCATTACCTTACCCCTCCCCTCCTCCTCATTATTGAAAATTGAAATTTCACATGCACTTTAATAATTCGTTCGATAAAATTTAAAGTTCTTGAAGTCTAATGTGCATTATAGACTATAGCAGGGGTCGGCAATTAAATTCTATGGAGGTCCAGAAAATCAAAAAAAAAATTTCGAGGGTCAGTAAAAACTAAAAACTCAGATATTAGTTAATAATTGTTGTGTTATCGCAGCTATTATTGTAAATAGCAATAAACGATAAAAATCATCGTAATCTCTAAATACATCATAAAATAGATCAAATATATAATATTATGTGTGGAAAACCGGCATTATTAAAAAAAAAATAAAAATATTTTTGTGGTCCAATTATTTTTCCTTCACAGGCCGGATTTGGCCTGCGGGCCGCCTATTGCCGACCACTGGACTAAAGTGTTACTAATCTATAAGGAATCCGAGACTTTCAACTTTTCAAGTCTTTTTTTCAATCTGTTAATCCAATAATTAATAAACATCGAAGTATTGTATTGTCATTGTTACATTTATAGATTTATTTTTAGCGCCTACAAAAATCAACACTCATAGGCTCAAAGTTTAAAATGCAATGCAATTATTGAAACATTTGAATTTCAAAGTTTCTAATGGTTTTTACTTTTTAATAATAATATACTATGTTGTTTGCGGTCCGTATTGATTTTTGAAGAATTTTACTTTATAGTAAAATAGGTTGGCAATGCTGCCACGAGATAACAGATAACATCATGGTTACTTCACAAAATTGATTAGAATTTGGAATTGGTCGTGTTACTGTGTTTGCCCTGATTTGCCCGTACTAGTCAGTTTTGAATAAATAAATCGGTTTGCGATATCGAGTTGAACGAAAATAATTAATAATCAACGATCCAAAGAGATTATACTGAGGTACAAGTATAACTATCGCCGATCGACTTAATCTCTTGTCCTCTCTCGTCGTCCATTGCTCAACGGTCCAACTCATTTCGAACGAACTTTGCACAAGATGTTTGGAAGACCAGCCCAGGCTGTCCAGCCGAAACCTCGCACGGCCATGGAAAAGATCAAGTTAATGTACCAGGACGAAAACATTTGGTAAATATCTTGCAAATTACCTAATTTATTAACTCTGAAATATTAATATTGTTATTGCCATCGACCGTGTTTTAGGAACGTTGTGAAGAGCGTAGCATTTTTTGCCATTGCTGTCAAGTTCACCAGAGAATTCCACGGCGTTGAGCTCATACACTAACGTCTGATACAGTACGAAAAACTTCTCTACCGTATATAGTTGTACTTCCCCCTATAGAATGTATATACCAGCTAATTAATTACATTTAAATGTATAAGGAAATATCTTTGTTGTATGTAATCATGAATATTGAAAATTATAATATATTGCACAAGGTCTTTTAACTTTGTGTAACTACACAAATTGTTATGTGTAAAAGATATCTATAAACCTTATATGTTTTGTTGAAATTATTTAATCATAAAACCATAGTTCATTCTGTTTGACTGCTTTATTGTCTAAGTTCTATAATACAAAACTGAAGAATTATAATAGACAACAATAATCAATTTACTTAAAACTATCAAAATTGATATATTTAATTAATTAACAATTATAATATATAAAACAATAGTGGTAATGGATCTAAATCCAATGATTTTTTTGCCTAAAATATATTTGACTAAAAACGGTTATTTTTTTACAAGAAATTATGTTTTGTTTCAATTTAAAATATCAACAATGAATTAAAAATAAATAGATAATACAATTTAATATGGACATCAACATGTTATTTAGACGCAGCAGCTAATTGCTTCATTCTGTTTAATGCACTACCAGACTTAAACCATTCTATTTGTTGTTCATTGAATGTGTGATTAAGTAATATCTCATCAGAACTTCCGTCAGCATGACGCAATATGCATTTCAAAGGCTGAAAAAATAAAAACTAATATAAGCTGAATAATTCAATAACAATTTGATTTATAAAATATATGGTGTGTACTGGACAACTGAATGAATTTTAAATAAATCTACTTTAGTTATACCTTGCCAGGGGCAAATTGGTTAAGTCCGACCAAAGACACTTTATCAGTTGGTTGAACTTTATCATAGTCCTTAGAGTTGGCGAATGTCAATGCTAATACTCCTTGTTTTTTCAAATTGGTTTCATGAATACGAGCAAAAGATTTGACAATGATTGCACGTCCTCCCAAATGACGTGGTTCTAAAGCGGCATGTTCTCTGCTACTTCCTTCACCATAGTTTTCATCACCAAACACTACCCACGATATACCTTTAGCTTTGTATGCTCTGGCTGTATCTGGTACTGCACCCCATTCTCCAGTATATTGGTTTTTTACCTTATTCATTTCATTATTATCAGAATTGGTTGCACTAGAATAATAAATAAAATAATTTTATCATACGTTTTAAAGAAAACAAAATCATAATAATTTACGTTAAGAACATGTTATTAGATATATTGTCCAAATGACCTCGGTATTTCAACCATGGGCCAGCCGCAGAAATGTGATCAGTTGTACATTTTCCTTTCACCTATTGAAAATGTATATATATTAGAAAATCTTAATTAAAAACTAAAATAAAAACATATATTATATTTTATTTAAACTTACTTTAATAAGTATAGTAAGATCTTCTAAATCTTTTCCGTCCCAAACTTTAAATGGTTCTAATAATTGGAGACGATTGGATTTTGGGTCTACTACCACACTCACAGCTGATCCATCAGCAGGTGGAGCTTGGTAAGTATCTTGACCTGGATCAAATCCTCTTGCGGGTAATTCATCACCAAATGGATTACTCAATTTAAATTCTTTACCTATAATAATAAATAAAATTATGAAACATTAATATTAACATTATTTTATAAATGGAAATTACTTCCAAATATGTGTAATTCTGAATAACATTATTCAGTAATTTAAACACTAAACTTGTATACTGTTCTTGATCACATTTCATTAAAGGTAAACACAATTGTTATTTCTCCCTAAATTAATGAAATGAATGAAAAATAGTATACAATGTTCTCAAATCCCAGATTTTGAGTACGTATTTTAAGTAACTGAAGTTTGTAATCATGATGACAATTAATATATATTTAACTAACCATCAGCTCCTTTAATTGAATCTTTTGTGGGATCAAAGTCCAAACGAGCTTCAATGGCTAAAGCAGTAACTAACTCTGGAGAGGTGACAAAGGCATGAGTTGCTGCATTGGCATCATTACGTCCAGTAAAGTTTCTGTTGTATGAACTGACAATGGTATTCTTTTCACCCTTTTTAACATCTTTACGATCCCATTGACCAATACATGGACCACATGCATTAGCTAATACAGTACCACCAAATTCTCTTAATATTTGCGCCTAAATGTTAGTCATTAAAATATTAATTGATAAATACTGATAAAATATTATATTCTTATATACAATTCCATCTCTTTCAATTGTTGCCCTAATTTGTTCAGATCCAGGAGTAACATTAAATGGAATTTTTGATTTACGTCCATGAGCTAAAGCTTCTTTTGCAATAGTTGCACACCTCGACATGTCTTCATAACTTGAGTTGGTGCAGCTTCCAATAAGACCTGAAAATAAAAAAATATATCACTACAATGAATATCTAAGAAATAATGTAGTTGTTAACTAGCCATTGCTAAGTACACACATTTAATATTTGTTGTATTGTCTTTTATTGTTATTTCTAATATTTATAATAGTTACATATTATGTAAACTGTGAGATTAACTTAAAGTGTGGACAAACTGTGTCTATTACCTTTTTTTTTTTATTTAATAACATTTTATTCCACATTCAAT